CGCGTCCACTTGATGCTTGGCCGACAGCAGGGGAGATGGAGAACTGTTTACAAGTGGCATTTGCCCCTAATTAAAAACAGCACTTGTTGAAGCACTTTGTCTGAGGAAGGACTAGCATCCACAGTGATGCAAGCTGGGCCGCTGATCTTCCAGTAAGCCTGTGCAGACACACAAACACACACGTTTGTCCTTCTATCTTAGTGAGGACACTAAATGACATAATATATTCCCTGGCCCCTTACCTTAACCTTTACCATTCAAACTAAATGCCTAACCCTAACCCTAATTCTAACCCTTAACCCTGAAATCAAGTCTTCACCCTCAAACAGCCCATTGTTGAAGTGAGGACTGGTCAAAATGTCCTCACTTTCCAAAAGTGTCCTCATTCTGTAGGGTCTATGCTTCAAATGGTCCTTATGTAAAGATCAGTGCAGGAACAGACACACAAACAAAGTCAGACATTATGCTGCATAATCTGTTTACAGAACAAGTCAGAGGACGCTGACAGTCCACAGTTTTGGTAAACTGAGAAATACAGTAGGAGAAACAACACAGATGGCTCCGTGTGCAGCCGCTCCCAGAGACAAATGAAGAATAGTCCTCATGATAGTGATTGACTAAGTCTGCAGAATCTCTCACTCTCTCAGCGGCAGGCAGTCGACTCCCTGCATTTTCTAATTCTGCTGGCCCAACATCTGGCTGTCCCATGTGGAAAGGCCATTATGTCAGGCCAGAGGATGAATGAAAGTAGCCATCGACCTGTCTGCGTGCAGAGACTAACTGGGCCGGCAGTGCCTTCGAGTTTTGGTCAGCTTAATGGAGCACAACAGCTCAGCAACTAATCACCTGTTCTTTCTCATCAGCTGCTTCCCCCACGAGAGAGTAATTGATTGTTAAGTGTTTGATGGATCAGACTAAGACGGAGCTGACCTGACTCAGTGAAACGTGCTGTACAGTTTGTACCCATCTGTGGTTTCATGTTTTCACACTCGCAAGGAACTTTACTTCATCGCAGACTGTGAAACATTCAACCACACGTCACATAAAGAAGTGTGTTTTCCCTCTCTTCTTTTCTGTGGGTATCATGTAATGGACCTCACTTAGATAAATATGTGGTTGTAAAGCAATCCTACATTATCAGAACTTTTTATTTTACAATTTATTTTACAATATCCTGAAAAACTGGGTGATTTTTATTCAAAACTGTGGTCATTTTTTGCTGAAACACTTGATTCATGTGCAATTCCACATGTTTCAGGATTTTTTACTCAGCTTGTATCAGGAACATTACAGTTCATTACAGCTAGATTTTTTCCCCCCACTGGAATAAAAAAAATAATCACAGTATTAGTGATAATAGGTCTATTAATTGATGAGTCCAATGCCAGAAAATGAAGTAGAAATCCTTTCAATTAGGATCGATTAATCATTTGAAATTCAAATAAAAGGGCTCTTAACCTCAAGAATTTATTGCTGTGCTTTGTAAATTTAATGTGTCTGGTGTCTGTCGGAAGCACGTAAGTAATTTTAAGACATCATGTTGGGTTTATGAGAAATCATGATGGACATTTCTGACATTTCACTTATTTAATTATTGAAGAGTAAATTCATGAATTATTCATCAGCCCTTTGCAGAGCTTTAAATACCCAATTTTTTAAAATGTAAACTTTCAGGTATGCAAGATATTACCATCCAACTATTTCACCTGACTCTGAGCAGCAGCTTGTGATCCAGCTCTCGGTCCTCTTCAGTCATTCTTTGGCCTCTCAGCCTCCTCTCCACAGCATCCAGAGTGAGTAAGACCACCAGGCTGAGCTGGAACAGCCCCCCCACCCAGGTGCACAGTACACCTCCGTACACAGCTGGAAGACTGCACAGTGGATTCGTTCACTGCTGTGGCAATGGTGTACTCTGAGCTACCTCGCTGTGCCGTAGTCTGGGGACAGATAGTGGATGGTGGTTTGAAGGGTGAATGATGGATGGCTGTGTTATCGGGTGACAAGCTTCGTTGCTAGACTAGGACAAAATGTTAGATATCGAGTTGTAAGTCTAGATCCCTGCTGAGGGAGTTCTGTTGTCCCCTGTTTCCTCCTCAACTTCCTAAGAGAAAAAAAGGTCACGAAACTAGACTCTATACCTGCAACATCTCAGCTGGCTTTCCCTGTCAGCGATGACAGGTGTCTTCATGCCCCGCTGGTCTGTTTCTTATGCTGAGATTTAGTTCCCCAGAGCGGGGGAAGGCCCTGCGGGTGAGGGGTGGTCTCTGATCAAAGCAGGCCCACCAGGGGGACAGACACTGGAGAGGGGACACAGTAGAACAGGCCCCTGAATATCCCTCAGAATCGTCTTACCTGTGATGGGAATGTCACCTCCCAGAAAAAGAAGCAACACATAGATTTTCAGAGCATAAAAGATCAAACTTGTAATTTTTCCTTCTGCTTTTATCTCATGAGTCGACTCGACTTCTTTCTCACCTATTTACCTGAAGTTTGTAAAACAAATTGGATGAGTGAACTATTAAATAAACCCTCTTTCACAGTGATGTAACTTCACTGAGGTCATGATATGTGATATCCCATTAGGCAAAGCTCGCTGGCAGATAATAGCTTGAACAGGGAACGGCCGGCCATCACTTTAGCGAGACGTCTATACATCAAAACTGATCTTATATTTATTTAATGGCATTAACCTGTGGCGTCCAGGCCTCTCTCTCTATGACAATGACAGGGAAGTCTGGTTTACTTCTGGCCTCCGCTCTGCTGGGCAGCAGCTCCGGTGCAGCCTTCGCTTCTGGGATGATGTCACCACACTGCAGAACAGACAGAATCAGTTTGCTGCTGTGAGGGAGGGAGGGAGGGAGGGAGGAAGAGAGAGAGAGAGGGAGAGAGAGAGAGAGAGATACACGAACACACACTTCTGTGGACCACCTGGCAGTGATACATTGACAGAAGGGCTACTTGGTTTACACTGCTATACCTTCCTCTAGCACATGAGCGCCCCAGTTCTCTACATGATACAGTTGAAGCTGCAGTATTCTGTTTTCTACACTATTTGTTTATGTAACCGTTTTAAGGCTTCATGTGCCTCTAGAAAAAATGTATAAAACATCAGAGTTAATGACGCTGATAGCAGATGTGTGATATTCTGGCCCCTCTGAGGGAACATGGTAATCCTCAGATATTTCCGTCAACTAGCTCTCAACATGGCTGCAGGTGACCTTGTTCACCTTGTGTGTCGAACACATCCCATCCACTCTGGATCTGGATTTTCACCATTTTCAATAGTCAAACGCAGACGAAAACATAAACTCCTTGGTGACAGAAATAAAGCAGAGTAAGGACATGAGACATCACACAGGGAGGCAAGCATCTGGAGGAATAACACTACAAAACATGACATCAGCCTCACATTCTGTCATTTTACCAAGCTTCACACTAAACACCAGACTGAGTTTCATTTTCTCACTTTTGGAGAGTGAAACATTTGAGTAGCTCAGCCGATTGATCTTATTTCTCTCCACTCTGCAGCTTTCTATTTAACATGCATCACATCTACCGTGCGAACAGAGCAGGTGTGATATGATCAGTTTAAAGATGGTCTCTCTGTGGTCGTGTCTGCAAAGCTGCTGCTGCTGCAGTTCTACAACTGCATCTGCTCCCTGCTCTGCATTTATCTGATCGTCTTCCAGACAAGGCCATACACAGAAGGAAAGTCCAAAATGTAATGCTTCCCTACACACAAGTATAATTCTAAACACACACACACACACACACACACTCTATGCTGATTTAAAGGTCAGTCTAATTGTACACAATAAAAAGCTATTTACGAATGTGAGAAATGAAATTATGTGTTTCCTGACATGTATCCAGTTTAAAAGAGAAAATAATAGACACAATGACATGCTAAAATAATATTTTTTTATGCTTTTACTTAATTTTATTTAATCATCTTAGACTATTTAGTTATAGCGAAGTGCCACATTTCTCCACCTCAGAACCCTGCATCTGAGAAATTATTGGTGTTTCTATCAAGTGATCGGCATAAATACTGACACTAAACTCAGGACATTACCCTTTATCTCAGCTTCCTGTAGTTTTGAAATTTCCTCTGAGAGTCCTGCATCCATCCTTTTTTAATGAAGGCCAATTAAATCATGTTGATTCAGAATGGCACTCAGAAGAGTTCCCATCTACGCCAAGTAAAAACCACATTTAACTTCAATAGAACCAAATTTTTTATTTGAATCTGCTCTAACTTGAACACACTCTTTAATATCAGTCCCCCTGAATATGCCTGATTTTTTTTTCATCAAGATCCAAATACTATTCTCTGAAATCTGTGAAAATGGTCCAATTTCACTATGGAAAAAAAAATCTGCAACAAAATTGAATGGGCTCACCCGGCCACAACATTTCACGGAAACTGGTTTTGTAGTTTTTGCACTTTCCTGCTAAATATCAAACAAGCACAGATGAAAACATGATCTCTCTGGTGGCGGTAAATATTCTGTGACATGTAAAATATTCAACAGCAGCATTACCTTGGTAGAAAGTAGCTCTGGTGGTTTTACTGAAGACAGTATTTCTCTACATCTGTAGAGAAATACTGAAATAAGTAACTTTTTTTAGCACCAAAAACTAAATTCCATCCATCTGCTTTGTATTGTAGGTTGAATGTATTGATCCATGATTTAAAAGCAGAAAATAAGGACATGCAAACCGTCTGCATGGTGAGACACCACTAGAGGGAGGTAGTAACACACTGTATGATCACTGTACTGTGAAGGAACCACTAGAGGTTCACGTTACTGGGCTGATAAAATAACTTCAATCCATTGCCCACCTTTTTGTTAAGATTTTTGTAATTATTATTGTGCACATATTTTTATTGTATTTATTTTTGATAAAGAATTACTGGATTTATGATAATTCAGCTGTCCCAATGCTATATATTACGTCATAACTCACGATTATCACTAATGCAACCATGATGTCCTGACGTGTTTATAAACGAGTCGATGTTGAGTGAACAGCAGAAAAACACGTTTTCCGTGTTCTACCCGCAGGGCGCGCTGTCGCTTGTGCAAAGGGCTGCAGTTGCTGCTGTGTCCTGTGGGCGGCAGCACAGAGCGGCCTCTCACGGACAAATGGCGTCTCTCCAGTGCGGAGCAGCTGATCTCCTCCGGAGCAGAGCGGCAGCAGCGGTGCGGAGGTAAACACACCGACCCCCCGGATCCCTGCGCGTCAACAGGCCGCAGCTTTATTACGCACGGGTCCGTGTGTTGGAGTGACGGCCGGACGCCGCGCACTGTTCACGGATCGAGCACAGACCGATGTCCCGGTGCACAAACAACCGTGTGGGGCCGGGCAGATAGAGGAGAGAGTGCCGCTGCAGCCTGTTCATCTGCGGTGTGCTTGTGTCTTCCACCGATGGTTGTCAGTGTCTCACCGGGGCCTGATCCGAGGCGCTGCAGGCGACAGTAGCGGGTCAAATGTTTCCACCCAGACAGCGGAGGAGCTCATCGTGAACATGGGCATCACCCCTTCAGAGAAACCCTCCTCCTCCTCCTCCTCCTTCTTCTTCTCCTGCTCCTTCTGACTGCCTGGCCCGTCTTCGTTAATCCAATTGAGGAGATCATCTTTTCAACCCTTGCTGAGGTTACACCATCAAGACGGCGTTATCTCAGAAAGCAAGGTAAAGGTTTTATTCTCTTCCTCTGTTCTTCTTCCCTGTGACACGCTGTGATCACTGTGAGTTATAAAGAGCTGTCTGTGCTTGTTTTCGCCATTTCCTCGTTATTACAGGAACTCATCATGACTCTAAACAGGGCTCTAACCTGACTCTAACCTGACTCTAACCTGGCTCTAACCTGACTGTAAACCTGACTCTATTCTGACTCTAACCTGACTGTAAACCTGACTTTATTCAGACTCTAACCTGACTGTAAACCTGACTCTAACCTGACT